GAGGACCGCCCTGCTGTCCGAAGCTGGATGTGAAGCCGGTCTGCCCTCGCTGTCCTTCACTGCCACCCGCCGAGGACAGGCCGCTGAGTCCAAGGCCGCCCAGGCCTCCAGGAGGACCGCCCTGCTGTCCGAAGCTGGATGTGAAGCTGTTCTGTCCACGCTGTCCTTCGCCCCCACCCGCCGAGGATGGGCCGCTGAGCCCAAGGCCGCCCGGGTAGGGAAGGCCTCCCCGTTGTTCGGAGTTCGATGAGAAGCTGCCCCTCTGTCCTTGCTGTCCACCGCCTAGCGCGAAGGGAGGCGGGGGGAGTCCGCCGCCGCCGCCACCGCCGCCGGCCAGGGATAGTTGACCCCCACTTCCGCTTCCTGCTTGCAGCCCGGATGCGAGGGATTGATCGGCGCCACCTCCACCTCCACCGCTCTTAAAGTTGAGCCCGAAGTCCTGGGCGGCGGCCAACGCGGCCAGCCCGAGGAGGGGCAGCAGCCTCGGCAGCAACACGGCGGAGGCTCCCCGGTGAGACATGACTGCCGTAGACTGGCCGCAGCCCCTCCGCGGGCCCCCTACTTGTAGTGCACGGGTACGGCGACAACGCCCGAGCCCCCGCCCCGCCCCGCCCAAACATTTTCCGAAAACTCTCCGCGCTAGCGTCAAGCTTGGCTGACTGGACGACAGGCACGCCCCCGTCGGAACGGCCGCGCGGACACGTCCCGGGGATAGACGGGCGCGAGTCACCGCGCGCCCAGAAAACTCCGTTTTTTGGATCAAGCAAAATGTTCTTGATGATGACAATACAATCGTACTATAGTATATATACCATGGTATAGTACTTGGAAACGACTGGGTGGCGTTGCAGTATATTAAATAGACCCTATTCGGTCTCGGCTCCGGGAGAAGAAAACAGGAATCCCGACCGGAACCAGTACCTTTATTCTGCCATATCTTTGCGAGAAAACTTGCAAAGCTGCCATAAAAATTTATCAGAAACATTGTGGATGGTGCTTCTACCCACCAGAGCCACTGAAACGTTAAAATAGCGTGATTTTTTGTAACTGGTTCCGGTCGGGATTCCTGTTTTCTTCACTTTGAGTCGAGACCGAATAGGGTCTATTATCTTTCAATAATCACAACAGTCAAGTAAGTACGTGTTCGAGATAGGAACGGTGTGCGGTGCGGTGAGTCAGCCCGCGGCCGGCCGCGAAGCCGCGAGGGCGAGAAGTTGCTTTCCTCCGCTTCCCTTTGGCAGGGCACTACTTATCGACCCTTGACGGGCTGGCCGGCCGGGCAGGGCCGGGCAGGACGATTCAAAGGGACATGCAGGCCAGACACGCCGCGGCGGTGCGGGTGGTGCGGGCGACAGGACAGGCCCAGGGCCACGTCCACCTCCCCATCGACCTGCCTCGAGTCTGCTCGCACCATCATTTATCATTTACTTTACTCCCGTCTCTGCCCTGCATTCCCCTTCCACCCTCCCCTCCCCCAACCTGCCCCTTTT